ATGGAGACATTTCATTTAATAAATGTTTTGTTTTGATATATAAGTTGTTCAGGTTTTTTCATCTAAAAAAAAAGCGACATTAATTTCTTGACGACCTAATATTTTTCTGACTGAATAGACCGTATTAACGATATACGGTCTTTGGTTGATAGTTATAAACAATTTAGTTAACGATGCAGCCAAAACCTTTTTTTATGTGAATGCATTAAATACATTTTAATTTGAACTACGAATATTTTTCGAAAGACAGAAATTTTTAATTGAAAAAAAGCTTTCAAATATTCAAAAAGTGTGGGCTTTATAAATATTCAAATTTCGATAGAGTCACAAAACACCAGTGACCAACCGTGAAAGAGCCTGTTAAAGATACAGTGTTAAAATCTTTAGCTGTGTTATTCTATAGTTTCATCCCACTGCTGCTGAAAACATGTAGATTATAACTGTTCTAATCTGTATAATACAGGAATTAGTATTGTTTTCTGAATTTAAATATTCATAAGTGATAAGATTTGTATTTGAAGAGGAAAATATAAAGGTATTCGGTTGTCTTCATTAATTAGTGTCTAGCACTTCATTGTATAGAAGTGACTTCAAGTGCCTTTCATCGTTTTTTTTTCTCACATTACATTATTACTGGTGGTGTTTTCATCAGTGCTGAGTTTCTCTGGATTCCCTCCCAAATAATGATCCCTTTTGGGTCAGAAATTAAACTGCACACATTTCTAGCCATTAAAAAATCAAATCCTTATTTAGAAATAAAAGATGATATATGAAACCAGTGCAATCAGAATGGAATACATTACTCAACTGTTTGTTTGTTTTTCTCTTTGAGGTGCAGAATTTTGAGTAAAACACGTGAACTTTCCGAGAGTGAAGTTTTTTAACATCAACTGGTTCCGCTAGCTCGTTGTTGACGGAGATAATTACATATTTCAGAATACCGCAAATCACAATTTTTTTTTGAATTGAATTATTGATAATTTTTGAACGAACTGAAAACGAACGTATAAATTAATAAAGCCAGTTCTAAAATATAAATCCACATACTGAAATCTCTCTTCCATTCTATACATGTAAATAAATCATTTTTTCTTTTTTTATTAATGCGAATCAAATAATTAAATGTACATCAAAAATATACAATTTTTATTAATCGCCATTAAAAGTTTAAACGAATCTTAACATTTAGTTTTAAGGTTACATAAAATATTAACGAGTGCCCATATTTTTATCGAACATGCTTGAATATATTTATAGATTGGTGAATTTTTAGAAAATTGTATACCACCACACTTATCGAATCTGCTGAAATTCACCTTTGATTTTATACATATCCAACGTTAACCATAACACAGTAAGGAGTTTCATGGTAAGATGTAAAATTTCGGTTCATACTCGAAGCTTTAGGCAATAATTAATTTCACGTTAGTTTTGACTCACTTGAATTTTATGCCATAAATATTTATTATCTGTGTTGTGTATTTATACATTTTAGGATTATTGTCCTTATATACCCTTGAAAGAAATAATAATTATATAAAAAAAGACATAAACACATTTGAGTATTTTTGCAGTAGGCTTCATAAGATCATTAAATGTGAACCGTGACACACTACTTAATGTAAATTCCTCTAAGTAACAAATTGAAAGCCTTTGTTGTTTTTTTTTGTTTGTTTTTTGTATTATTAACCGTCAAATTTCGCTAAGAATTTTCCGTACGTTTAACTATGTAAACAAACACTTACATGGAATTGATTGACCACCACCTTATCTGTTTGCTGTTCGAGTTCTTGCTCCGGAGTAATCACTTTTGCAAGCCTCTACAAAAATAATAATAAATAAATGTCAACTCATACGACTGAGTTTCAGCTGGTAATACTAAATATAGCACATTTGATTGTTAAAAAGAATAATTGACGTGAAACCTTGGTCTACACATTTTGAAAAAAAAAACGAGTCTTGTGTGGGCCTAGTGTGAGAGTAGTTTAATAACCTTGAAACCAATGACTTTAGATTATTTACAAAAATACTATTTCGTGTTAGCTAACGTGATGTATTGATTTCGTGACTAATACATAAGAAAGTTTTACACATTATTTTTCCATAAATGTCGTTATTAATGAATCTATACATTTAAAACTCTTTTAGAGAGGGTTGAGTACATTATATTAAAACGGTTTTTGAGCTTCGCCACGTCATCAGTCTATATTGTCACGTGCGGTCATGCTTTATCTGACGATAGTGCATCTTAACAAAACATGTAGCATAGTTTCCTTTGCAAAAGGATCCTTCATAAGGATTTCATGCCAAAAGCACACTATCCATCCCTGCATGCTTTTCATAATTCATCAAGTGTACGAAGACGATGGTTTCTTAGTGTCTGTTTCAACAGTTAGTGTGATCGCATAAATATCCATAGGTGCTGCGTCCAGCGAGTTAATTAGTATATTTTCGTATGGAATAGCATGAGTACTCATTTCATATGTGAAGGTTGAAAGGGAGCTATGACTGGAAGCCACATCTGAAAGAACCCATGCGGAAATATTTTTGATTATCTTGGGTATGGCGCATGGATGGCTTTTGCCACCGATCTCTGTTCGTGGATTCTTATCTGTTACAAGACGCTGAACTTCGCTTATCACGGCTGTGGTACGACTTCTTTCAGATCTCTTTTTGGGTGGTTCAGGTATCCCAAAGTGATTCATATTCATTAATGTTCCAGTGCCACTAAGTACAAGGGATATTCCCGATCTGAACACATGTTTATGATATGATTTTATAAGTAGTTTGCGTCTGAAAGAGCTGTTACGTATCTCCCCCAAAAGCGATCAATTTTTGGTGGCATATTAGTTGTGGTTGTTTCGTGACTTGCTGATTTGTATATTCAAAATCGTTTTAATATAATGTAATTAATCCTATATAAGGTTTTATTATTCGTATCAGCTCCTTCGAGTTTATTTTTCGATATTTACAAAAATATAAAAATAATTTATTAAACTCTTATGAAGCGTTTCCTTTACTGTTAATTATTTTCTTTATTGTTATTGAGATCTTTTGTCCTAAAAAATTATTAAATCAATATTAAACTAAAATTATGTTTTTGTTATTTTGAGATAAACTACTTACAATCAATGTCGAACAATACAACATTAATCAGTTTTGACACAGAATCAGTTATTCAAACTTATGTTTCATCATCCATTTTTGAAGAAGTATCATGATCACAGTAAATTCTGAAAGTCTTAAAAACCCACACACAAAAAAAATTCTTTGAAATAAACATAAAGTTTCATCATCCAAGTTTTTAAGCCAGCCTTTTGGTTGATTTCATCGCCTCCTTTAGGCCAAATTGTCTTTACAAAAAGTCATTTAGTGGAATCACTTACCTCTGTACAAGTACCACGTGCTTTGAACAGTTTGTAGCAAGCTACCACGGGAACCATGGTAACAGAGGAGAGAGCGAAGGACCATCCAAGAGCTACAGCCCAGCCAGGAAATCTGTAGTTATGATAGACTAGCGGAGCGTTGGTGGCGACTGCTGACGCTATTACAGCCTGTAAAGAACGGTCATACTTTAAAAATAGGGCGAACTAAAGCGAAACGCGAATATACAGCAATGTGACCTTCACAAACAAATAATCAAACTTAAAGATGAGGAGGTGTTGTGAAAATAAATAAAGCAGGCTAACATGGATAACAATGTGACCTTCAAAAACAAATAATCAAACTTAAAGATGACGAGGTGTTGTGAAAATAAATAAAGCAGGCTAACATAGATAATAACATGGATAACAATGTGACCTTCAAAAACAAATAATCAAACTTAAAGATGACGTGGTGTTGTAAAAATAAATAAAGCAGGCTAACATGGATAATAACGTGGATAGCAATGTGACCTTCAAAAACAAATAATCAAACTTAAAGATGACGTGGTGTTGTGAAAATAAATAAAGCAGGCTAACATGGATAGCAATGTGACCTTCAAAAACAAATAATCAAACTTAAAGATAACGTGGTGTTGTAAAAATAAATAAAGCAGGTTAACATGGATAATAACGCGGATAGCAATGTGACCTTCAAAAACAAATAATCAAACTTAAAGATGACGTGGTGTTGTAAAAATAAATAAAGCAGGCTAACATGGATAATATTTTTTTTTATTATTTGCGAATAATTAAGAAACAAAGTTTGTTGGTTTGAAGTTAAGCACAAAGCTACACAGTGGGCTATCTGTGCTCTGTCCACCACGGGTATCGAAAACCGATCTCTGGCGTTGTAAGTCCGCAGACATACCGCCGTGCCACTGGAGGGCAAGAAACAAACTTTATATTCATTTAAAGAAGATGTTTATAAATATATCTTCAAAATTCGTTATTGGCTTGTATTTACTTATGACCCCTTCGTGAAATATTTGTAACTTTTTATAATTTCAAGACCTATACTTTTAAAGTTGATTTAATCTCTGTCAAAAATAAACTGGATTTTCTGTTTAGACAAGAAAGGAAAGACGATGTGATATTAAAATATATACGATGTCAGGATCCAAGCTTCAGAGACGACTACATAAAATGTTTTATATGTATATAAACTCTATAAAGAACTTACTTGTACATACATAGACGACTATATAAAAAGCTATATATATATACTAGCTGGAGTACCCGTCCCCTGGACGGAAGTTATGTAAATTCATGATTAATTAAAGGTTATTTTAGAACATGAAATGTTGCTTCCCTTATACGTACTTACGCCCATAAAAACTGCAAGATACAAATTGTGAACTCGCAAGTTTGCGTGTATCTTTGCATGGACCCAAAAAACCTTCATGCCAAATTTGGTGAAGGTCCATCGACAAGAGGCAAAGTAGTGGTAAAAAACGCACATACAAGCCGCAAAATGCAAAACTGAAAATTTGCATGCACCCCGGATGGACTTATTGAACCTCCACACCAATTTTGTGAAGATTCATCCACACCCTGCGAAGTAGTTACATGGACATACAGCAGACAGTACTATTATATCTATATCTATATATATATATATAAACTCTATATAGAAGTTATATATATACATACGTATACGACAATATAAAAGTTATATATATATATATATATATGTAGACGACTGTATAAAGAAGTTATATATAAATTAGTTATAACACGTGTATATTAAGGGCTCAACTGACGTCTTAGCACTAGTTAATGACTCGGTCGTGATGTTTGAGTCGTCCTTTAATCAGAACAGTAAGCTTATATTTTTAACGAATAAAGACTATATGATATTAATGCTACTCATTTATTCTTCCAGGTTATTCAGCAACCCAGAGATAAGAGATGCAATTCTGCGAAACCGATTAAGCTGCAGTGACAAGTAGTAATGGAAATGATGCACTGGGCTTTATGGTTTCTTTTTCTTTTTTCTGTTGTTGTTGTTGCCAGAAATTAGAATTTGAGATATGAGAGAAAATATTACATTAAACGCTTGCACTTTGTATTTACGGTAAAGTTACTACTAAGCTTTTCTACATCAGGGCCGGAGGGAAGGCAGCCAATCAGTAGCATCTTATCACTCATCCTCCATCTATGTATCGACCATTATTCTTATAACACGCCCCCAGATTAAAGCGCAGGGAATATTTTGTAGCAATGCGTGGGTTCGAACCCGACTCACCAGCTCCGAAATCCAGAGCTTTACCACAGGGCCAACTCGTGTCTCTATCGGTGGCTAACAAAACATAAGGACATGTGGTCGTTTGCGTAAATAAAAGCCATTTTTATCCATCTATAATTGTTAACAATTCTAAAAGGAAAAACAAAAAACACCATACATCTTTTAAACATTGTATATTCTGTATGTTATTAAAGTAATTCTGTGCGAACTAAAAATAGATTAACAAAATACAAAAGAATAATGTGCAAAAATGCGATCAAGAAGTAAAGTACTGAGTAAACTTACCACCATGAAGTAACTTATAGAAGAAATAACAGCAATGGGAAAAGTTATTATCAAAAAAAAAAAAAATAGGTGATGTGTAAATTTACCACCAGAAAACAAAAGAAAGACATTATTTCCCTGAAGGGGGCGAAGGCCGCCTGGAGGAGTCACCTGTTTTAACCAGTCGCACCAATGTACAGTAAGTAGTATGTTGTCTGTCTGTCACATAATGGACGCTTAACGTTGCAATTTGTACTGTCGTCATGACAGTAAAACGTGCGCAAGCCATGAATCACGAAACGAATTATACACTCTGTAGGCTACAAAACAGCATGCAATATGAACTTCAAAAGCAAGAAATAAAAATATTTATTACTCTTAATTTTGGCTTTATTTACTCTTGAAACAGAACACTTTCGGGGACCCTGCGGAAGTACATCTAGCATGTAAACTTACCATAAAAGAGAAAAGCAACATCTAAATTTACTACCAGGAAAAACCAAAACCAAATGGTTATGTGTAAAGTTATTTAAGAAAACAAAAAGTAATATGTAACTCACTATCAGAAAGAACAGAATGAAAGAACAAAGTTTCTACACACAAACAGTTATGTATAACCTTACCACCAGAAAACGTTTTGTTTGAAGTTTTTGGCAAAGCTATACACGGATTATTTGCAAATAACTGATCCTAATTTTGAACTAATACACCTAGTCAACAGCACCACCATCCCTTTAATTCTTGGACTACTCTAATCAAATAGTGGGATTTGACCGTCACAATTATAATGCACTCACGGTTCCAAAGTGCACAGCGCGATCTTTTTATGGTAAAGGACGCAAACCAAGGATCCACATCACGTTTGGCCCCATAACGAGTAAACTTAAAGAAAGCAGAAATGTGTCAAATTATCACCAGTAAAAATGGTAATGTGCACCCGTATTACAATAAAAATGGTAATGTGTAAATTTGGCACAATGAAAACGGTAATGTGTAAACTTATCACGACGAAAACTGTAATGTGTAAACTTGCCACCAAGAAAAATGGTAATATGTAAATCCACCACAACGGAAATCAGAAATGTGTGAATGTGTAAACTTACCACAAGAAAGAAAGGGCTAATGAACTTCCAACATAGTCTCCAGAAAAGGCCCGGGGAAAAGCCAAGCATTTCATGTATATCCTCGCAAAAATTTGCTAACCCTGCAGTAGACATTAAATTCTCACATTAGAGAAATAAAAAAGTTTCATCCTAAACATGAACACAGAATAACGTATATTGAACTGTATCTTAATCTTAGGTATTACTTGTTCTAAAGTTACTTTGAAAAATATTACCAACTTACAAAAATTTCAATCCGAAATTACTCTAGCAACTGGTTAAAGATCAAGGATAAATTACACCTGGCCTTATATCCTGTCCAAATAATAAAATCGATTATTTTCAATCCCAGTTATTCTGGAACACTTCTGTTCTTTAATCACAGAACATATTCTAGATATTTTAGATTTAAGTTATGAAAGAACACATTCTAGACAATCTATAAGATATCACAAAACATGTATAGATAATCTTTAAGATATGACAAAATATATTTTATATAATCTTCAAGATATTACAGAACACATTCTAGAAATTTTACGCAATCTTTAAGATATTATGTTCTAGGGTTAACTGTAGTATTTAATCGTTATATTCACAGATCAATTATAACATTAATATATTACGTTCTAATATTAATCATAATATTTATACGTCACATTCTATGGTTAATTATAATTAATTATTATTATAATAATTAATTATATATAATTATAATAATAATGTTGTGCTTTCAGACGAATTACCATATTTTTAATATTATGTTTCAAGGTTAATAATGATATTCTAATCTCATTTTATGTAAAAAATTCTCAGTAAGATTAATATTTTCTTACCATAGAACCACGCTACTCCAATGGCTTCCAATAATGCAGAGCACAGCAAAGAGATTCCTGCTGAGTAGGTATCGAACCAATACATCGTATATCCACCACCCTAAAGAGATAATTAACTGTGTATATAATTTTGCATAATCATGATAGTCTCTTGTTATATTTCTCATCTTTAAATTTTCAATGCCGTTATTGAGAATTAACGTTATTAGTAAATCTTGAACTTATTTATGTTCTTTGTGACCTCAAAATGATTCTACTGGAAAATTTACACTTGTGTATATTCTAGTACAGAGTGTAAAAACGTAGATAAATTGCTATTTTGCGTATTAAAATGATGAAATAGTAAGTAGAAATAACTTTAAACATGCTCTTTTATTCGACTTACAATTTTCTTACTCGACAATCAAAAATAAATTGGATGATTACAGCATTATTATTTAAGAAATGAATATCAAATATTTTTCTCCAATATTTCTAAAATTCTTTAACACTGTATGAACAACGCGGACATCTTTATTCTATTTATCTTTAAGTTAAATTTACAATTACAAGTTTTATGTTCAGTTAGTTTATTGCAGAGATTAATATAATTTATATGATTCAGAACTTTCTTGGAGAATTTGTAATTGGTGTATTTTTTCTTTAATTTCCATAACTTTATGATAAATTTGTTCAGTAGTATCCAATCCTGAAGACTGTCCGTTATGAATTTCGCTCAAAGCTACACGAGGGTTATCTGCGCTAGCCGTCCCTAATTTAGCAGGGTAAGACTAGAGGGAAGGCAGCTAGTCATCACCACCCACCGCCAACTCTTGGGCTATTCTT